TGACATATTCTTAATCAAAACATTTCTGTTGCTTTCAAGATTCAATAATTTGTCATCATTTACATCGTCGTTCTATTTATTAGATCTGCATTTGTTTACTGTGTAGGTGTGCTGTCTTGTAGGTACGGTTCGGTAGTATTCGCCATGTGCGTAGAAAATGAGGTTAAATGACATATATTTTATTTGTTTTCCACCATGTTCTTTCGTCCGGTTTCGAGCCATGCGAATTAAAAACTACTATGTCTAAAAGTTAATTACTTTTTAGCTGAAGATTTTCGAAATACTTGTTTAAGGCAAGGCAAAAAAGTTAAGGCTCTGTTGTTGAACGGAGCATAAAGCTACGGATGAGTTCAAATGAAAATAGATACCTAAATCTAAAGTTTGTCCGTAGCGGTTTTTGCATTTCGCTTCTGTTCATTCTCTACACGTGTTTTCAGTCAATACTCTGTAAATAAGAGTATTTGTGCCACTTTTCTCTGCACAGAAAACGAAATTCAAAAAACGCTACGGACAAAATTTAGATAAATGTCTTAGCTTCAGAATAAAAAAGAAATGATGGTTTTACGATGAATCGTCTAGGAGGAGATGCGATTTGCTCCGCTACAACCATGTTCTGCGAAAAATGTTAAACAGGTTTGACGTGCATCTATTGGGACCAATAATATTGGTCACCCAATCTATTGGGTTTTCGCAATATTATTGGGTATGGGTCACTTGAGGTCGGCCTACTTTTACAGTACGGAATCATGCTTTATATCCCGTTTTGAATCAAAAAATAACCCAATTGGGCATGCACCAATTAATAATTAATATCAGGGCATTCAGCAAAGTCGTTCCAAATCAGTTATAAAAAGCTCTCAGAGCTGCCGAACGCTTCATTTTGTAGGAAAATGTTTTCTCTACCAAACTGACGTGCTACAAAAATTTTAATGTTATATATAGAGAAAATACAATAAATCGAAAACGCACCATAATCATAGAAAAATAATCGCCGGTCGCTTTTTTCAGAATTCTGCTCAGTTTTTGATGCTTATATTCCTGTCGCAGATAACACTAAAATGTCTTTTTGCACTTTAGTTTGGTAGAGCAAACATTTTTCTACAAAATGAGACATTCGGCAACTCTAAGTGCGTTTTGAAATCTGATTCGGAACGACTTTGCTGGATGCCCTAATATCGATTGTTAACCCTTGTACTCCCAAGCCTATTTTAGACACAACAAATAGAATGCATTCATAAAATGTATTTCATACTTCGATTCATGCAAAAAAAAAAATTTCATCTCATTTTCTTGTTTTTTGAGAACAGGGTCTAAATAGACCCTGGTTGGTAGTACAAGCGTTAATCGGTACATGCCTAATTCCGATCGAGATATGCTTCCTCACGTTTTTATGAAGGTAAATGCTGTTAAGGTTAAAAAGTTGGAATCCAGTGTATTGCGAACCCAATATTACCCAATATTATTGGGCCCATTATTGTCGTGAACAGACAAAATAGATTGAATGTTATTTTGACTAATTGAGTGTTGTTCATTTCCAGATTATTTTATTTATTATTTTGGTGAAAAATGACCGTATTAGATCATATTGGTAAATGATTAAATAAATATATATTTCATCTATTACTCGTTAATTCATTTGTTTGAAATAATATATTTAATTTGATTTTTAATTTCTAACAAAATACTTCCAATACAAATTTGACATTTCTTTATTAACACTGACAACCTTATATTCTATTTTTCTCAATCCATTTCCTATAAACACTATTTTGAGTTATAACCTTGTAGAATGGATAAGCAATTTTAGTGCTTTTAAATAACGGTGACTTGCTCTATCATCGATACTACATTACTTATGTTATCCGGTACGGTTATTTTCAATTTAAAAACACAAATACTATATAAAATTAGATAAAAGTAATTAAACAAGTTTTTAGTCTAAATCTCGTAATTGACTTTTGTTATGTGTATAGTCTAAAAGTAGAATTTCGCTCGAGATTTGTGAGAAAAAAAGAAGAAGAAGGAAAAGAAACGAACAAAATACGCTCTTCACAATGGAATGTTTTCAATGGCTTTTGAAATCATCAGTTTCGCTTGGGACGGGAGAGGGAGGTGACCAACGGTTTTTTCAGAAACTACTTATCTCTTAAACAACAATAGTAATTTCATGTCAGTTAACTTCGTTAATTTGAATCAACATAGAAAATTGAACGCTGAAGTAGACAACCTATGCTTGAGGTCAAAGAGGCGGTATTGTGCTTTGTCATGAAAAGACAAAATAGATTGAATGTTATTTTGACGAATTGAGTGTTGTTCATTTTCAGATTGTTATTTATTTTTTTGATGAAAAATGACCGTATTAGATCATATTGGTATATTCGCTAATTTTGACTTTCGTGATGCTCCATTATCACATCCTCTCAGTCCATTTGTGGCTATTACGATTTATTTATCAACGATTTATTTTATTCAATATTACGTTAAAAAATACCGTTCTGGTACTGGATACTCGATAAACAGATTATTGGCTTATCACAATTTATTACTCTCCGCTATGTCATTGGTAATGTTTCTACTTATTGTGATACAAATTTGTCAAACATTAACTGAATCAAATTATACAGAATATCGATATTTATTCTGTGAAAAGCCGACTCGTCATTCAACTGGTTCATTGTATTACATATCTTATCTTTATTATTTATCGAAATACTATGAATTACTCGATACAGTATTTGTTTCGTTAAAAGGTAAACTACAAGGTTATGGTGGATTTGCTGTTTATCATCATACAACCGTCTTAATTATGTCCTATTTATGGTTATCACAAACACAATCATTACAATTTACCGGTGTATTAGCTAACACATGTGTTCATATTGTTATGTATTATTATTATTATTTAACAGCACTAGGAAAAACGGTTTGGTGGAAGCGATACATTACACTTTTTCAAGTTGTCGAATTTATTTATAGTTTCTTTGCACTAATACCTTATCTTTATTATATGTTCAATGGTTATCATTGTGCTGGATTCTTAGCTCTTCTGTTCAATAGCGTATTTAATATAACATTATTAATCTATTTTGTAAGATTATATAGACGTGGTAATAAGAAACATTCTCAATGAGATTGTTCTATTATTTTTATTGTGTTTTATGATCGTGTTTACATTTATCGAATCATTAACTTTTTCTGTGATTATATTTAAATTCTTTTGTCAGATTTTTTTCTTTTTTTACTATCAAATGACATTTTTCTGAAATTTTTATATCGAAATAGAATAATGATTTTTCTTCAATAGATGTAACATATAACCTCTTAGACTCTTGTTTCCTAGAAGTCTATCAAAGAAATCAGTTCTTTAAGAAAGTAAAAACTTTTAGTTTATTGGATATAACAAGCTGATATAATTGAATTTTTTTTTTTTGAGATACAGTTCAATAATCAAATCAATTTTGATTCGAGAGAGATTGACTAGATCATGCGTCTATAATTAGAAGAGCGTTCAGTTAGCGCTGATTTGAGATGAAAGACGATAATATAGTTACTAGAGATAAGACTTGAAATTTTGCATGAAAAAGAGCATCGTGATATAGTTGTTATATAAACATAAATTAAATCAAATATCAAAAAAATAATTCAAGTCAAAGATGATCAATCAATAGTATTGATTTATCTAATGAATTTGTTCATTAATATTAATCTCATTATACATCTCACAAATCTCACAATCTCACAATACATCTCATTATATTGAATGAATAGTATTGATATGAGTGAGATATTAACATATATTCACATTAGGCGGTTTAACAACGATTAATGCAAATATAACGACTCTAATATATCAGAGTGGTATTTCATAATTCAGTTACAAAATTGAAAAAGAAGAAATTTGGATCAATGAATAATTAGATTCTACATGATTAAGAATCGTACCAGTAGAGAGTATAATAGTATCATAAGACGTTTATCAAAGTTCAGAAATGCACACGAGTGTCGTCATTTTAGGTAATATTGATAGTCAAATGAAGTAAGTATTATAATATAGAGTGCATGAAAATGGTTTAGAAATCTTTCCTTTTCCATCTGTATCCTCTATATATTTAGCTTTAGCTCTCTTTAACAGTAAAACATACTAATTAGACTCAAAAAAGAAAAAGATGTCGAATACAATTTTTTCTGTATAAAGAAAAGCGATATTAATAAATCTGACACTTCTTCTATTGTTTAACATTTTTCTCGATAAGTGGCTGTAATCATGCATGTACTCGAAAAAATACCGACACTTCATTAGAAGAAAACTATAGTAATTCTTTTTTTTCTCACCTATCCTATTACCATTTCTGACAGTTAGATCGAAAAGTTCGATCCTCGAATAGTCTTTAGATGAAAGATCATTTTATTGACTGTTACGGTGTATGTGTGTGTGTGTATGTGTACAAGTACACTGGAGACTTTCTGTAATTCGACATTTTTCTCTTAAAACGAAACTGTGTGAGACTCCAACAAGCAGAAAAAAGATAAAAAAATTGACACAAGACTGAGAGAAGTTAAATTCAATTATAGACACACTAATCAAATTTGACGATAATGTTAAGAATTTTTTTTTGTTGCTAATAATATTAATCTAGGAATAACAGAGAAATAAAGGAAAAGAAAAAAAAAATTATAATAGAAGAAAGCAAATTAATAATTACAATTCAATTCAGTCTATCCATCCATCATTTTTTTTTTATTATTATTATTATTAGAAGGAGGGTGTTGTAAATGATTAAATAAATAAATAAATATATATTTCATCTATTACTCGTTAATTCATTTGTTTAAAATAATATATTTAATTTGATTTTTAATTTCTAACAAAATACTTCCAATACAAATTTGACATTTCTTTATTAACACTGACA